TACAGTTAATCGAAATTCGTCAGGTGGTTGCGGAGGTAAAATGTGTAAGGTCAGCTATGACCTGCGCGTTATGCATTACGCACGACGTGCATCTAAATAGACGTTTCTCGTGCACAAATGTTAGCAGACATTATGTATGGAATGTTTCCCAAGATTTTGTTGACCTACACAAGGTAAGAGCACCATCATGACTCATACTTACAAAGAGTTGTGTAAGAACCAGTTAGCACTTCTGCCGTCTTGATCTGTGGCGGGCTGAACGGTGTAGGTCTAAGGCGAGGAGTTTAACCCAGTTACGCACCTGTAACGAGTATTACATGATTAACACGAAACATGCAAACATTCATCGGTAATAACCAATTCATGAAAACACATTTTTCGTATTACCTCTTGTGTCATTTAGTAATAATTTCTAGCCTCTTCTGCTTCCTTGTGGAAAGAAAATAGTCCCAAAAAGGTAAAGCTGTCCTTGTAACAGGCTGTGGAGTTTTTGAGACGCCGAGGGTCCCACATTTTATACACAATAGGCGCACATATGGAGGTCAGTTTGTCAGCCTTACGCGTCGGCCGCCCTTTACCCCGTAGAAAGATTCCTGGTACTCATTTCTGTTAGAGGCTGAGTCGACCCCAAGGCCAAGGTGCGACTGGAAGGATTAGGACAATTGGCAAATCCAATGACCTCATCGGAAATCGAACCCGCGACATTCCGTCTTGTAGCATAGTGTCTCAACCATTAACAAACCATTGTGCTGTTCGAAGATGGAACAGGTTATCAAGCTCAACCCTTGTAGATGATGATGATTATGATGATGACCATGCTGTTAATGTATGGATGTCTGCGTATCTGTTTGTATGCTGCGCATACACACTTTTGAATGAGCTGACTAATTCTTACGACATTTGGTTATGGCCGTTATGCCATAAGAAATTACTCAGACTTCGAAAATTTGAATTTCTTGCTCTCGATAATAACAACATGGTAGACGCACGAATTTGTGAGGTAGGACTGGCACTAGCGCTTTCTTAATCCACAGTACTGAAATTATGTATGTTTTCTTGATCTTCGAAAAATACGGAAGTGTATTAAGATTTTTCCTGCAGAATATAAACAAGAAAATGACGATATAAATTCTATATTTGGCTTATAATTTTATGAGAAATACTGTATCACTGAAGCTAGGAATGCAAATTCTTAATTATTTGCTGCAGATTTTTTTAATTGTAGTGGTTAACCATTTGTGCAACCATTTCTAGGTGGTGTATTAGAAAATACCAACTAATAAGTATTTACTTCTTGAACACTACATGTTTCGACAATTACTTACTGTAATCAGTTGCAAGCCGGTCACGGTAGCCGAGCGGTCTAAGGCATGCACCGTCTTCGCTCGCTCGGAAGCCGAGATCGTGGGTTCGAATCCCACTCAGGGCATGGATACTACAGCCCCAATTTGGGCCTAGGCCTACCTCCATGAAACTCTCCGTTTCACTTCGGTGTACTAGATCTTACACATACGGTAGGACTCCTTGGGCGAGTGATCAGCTCGTCGCAAGGCCTCTACCTGTAGACAAACACAGAAAAAATCAGTTGCAAACAAATTTATGTTACAAATATGAGATAAAGTAAAGAACTGCATACAGTAAAACTTGGTTATAGCAACATCGGTTTCTGCGACACCTTGTCTATTGCATCAAATATTCAATGGTACGAACTAATTCCTCATAAAGCAACTGTTTTTATACCTTGCTTAGTACGACATGCACAAATGCATCAACCTCGTATGTAACGTCATTTTCATTCCTGAATTTCTCTGATATCGTCATTGAACGTAATTTAGAAAGTGTGTATTGGGCAAGTAACAGGAAACAGATGAAGATAACTGATTACTGTACTCGTATCTAGGTACAGTAAGGCACAACAATTGATGTAATCTACTGTAATTTGGTGAGTAGGCCTACCTTTAATATACAGTATTAGTGCGGTGTGTATTGTCAGTGAAAAACGCTGTAATGTCTTTGATATTACACATTTGGGCAATTCCACGTTAATGTTACGTTAGTCTCTACTTAACTATGTATTTCACTAAAAAATGCAACATTTTAACTCGGTTTTTGGTAGACTTTTACGTGACTAACATAAGGCTACTGTGGAAGTGCCCATTTCGGTTACAACGACATTCGTTTATAACGACACTATTTTTAGGTCCCTTTGATGACGTTATAACCAAGTTCTACTGTATATATAATTTTAGCTGGAAATTGAATCCAATTCCAATACCATGTGTCGGCTATGTGCAAAAGCTAAGGTAAAATGTATAATAATCTAAATATTATTAAATTTAAGAAAGGAAAGCAGTGGTTGGGAGTAGCTTAAAATATAATTAATAAAGGATATTCTGTCATATTAACTGGTTCAAGATTTCGTTGTGAAACGCTCTGTGTTAAGCACACATATGCTACAAGGCCGGAAGGTAGCGGGTTCAAGTCCCGACGAGGTCATTGGATTTTTTTTTTTCAGTTGGCCTAATCCTTCCAGGCGCACTATGGCCCTGGGGTCGACTCAACCTCTAACAGAAATGAGTACCAGGAATTAATTAAATAATTTTCCTGGGGAATAAAGCATGGCCGGCGCGTAAGGCTGACAACCTTACCGCCATCTTTGAGCCGATTGTCTAGATAATGTGGGACCCTCAACGTCTCACAACCCTATGGGCCTTCACGGCCTGTTACAGGGATAGCTTTACTTACTTTTTACTTATACATATTTTTCTTGAATTAGCCGCTAGTGTGAAGGTGATCCTAGTTTCGTTTTAGGATATTGTCTCCGATGTATTCGTTATGTGTCATTATTGTGTTATGCTGCTGTGATTGTAAGCTATTGCCGCATTGTGGCGTTTTGAAATTCTTACGCAGGCCCGACCGAAACTCGATGGCGTTATGTAGTGCAGTTGTTATTATTCAGTATGTAGTGAGTAGAACGTGAAACATGTTACAATCAGTGATATTATTTATGTTGTGTGTGCTGGGATTTGTTGTGGCAGTTGTATTAGGACGTTGTTTCAGCCTAATAACATGACCGCGCTCATATATTATACGCACCATATATGTACAATTTAGGTTATATTTTTACGACGATTAAGCCAATAAGAATAAATAGGGAAGGTCGTATAATACGTACCGGTATAACGAAGAATGCTTGCAAGAATTTGAATGGAAAACCTCAAAGGAAGATTCCATTTCGGGAGATATAAATTTATATGGTGTGATCAGGAAAATTTATAGAGGAAAAAAGAAAAAAATAGGAGGCTTGGATTCAAATGGTTTAGGGGAATACGTGGGGTGTCCAATAGCGAGATTCTTTGCAGCTACAATAAACCTTCGTATTTCATGAACATATAACCTGAAAATGGACGCACTATTTTCCTCTGGAACGTTTGAGACTACCATTCAGACTACAGCACGGTTCGATCCAGAAGACCACATTATGACACTTCGCCTTGGTCAGTTCAGTAACTATGAACGTTTCAAGGCATGTCCATCACGGGTTTAGTGAGTTCCCAAGTAGATATGCTTGGGTTGGCTTTGCTAAAGTTTCAGATATTTTATTAGCAATCAATATGTTATGATTCTGAATTGTCTTCTAGTGACTATATACGAACTTGTGATTAATGTCTCCATATTTATTTCTAGATTAACCTTCATGACGATGATGAAGCGGAAGAAGAAAACAAGCACATAAATTGTAAATCTGGCAATAGCTCTGTTCTAACATTTGCAATAAGCATGTACATATATTCCTCGCCAACTGTATATTTTTTCCAAAGGCGTATTCCAAGTATCTGTCCCTTTTTTATCCGTGCTATTTGGCTTTATGTATACACACCTTTCACTTTGTGTACACGCTGAGAAAAATCGATAGCTTCCGCACCAAGAAATCCACATTTGCTGGGGACATAACTGTCATGGCATCTGAAACCATTGCTGCTGGGCCTGATTACCACTCTGGTGCATATTTTTATGACACTATCTTGCTTATTTCCTTATTTAAAAAAAAAGTAGGCTTGTGAGCTCACCTTGCTGTGTGTGTCTGTATATGTACTGCCCTCGTCTACTTTTGAACGCTTTAACCGATTTTTATGAAACTTGGTATGTATATCATGGCACTTGGGTCCATCTCAATGTCGTACTTCATAAATTCTGTGTCTGTAAGTGTATTCATCCTATCGTTGCTAGGCAACAGCTCGGTAAACACGATCCTCTGCAACGAATACACGTTACGATTGAAGAATAATTCTTCTATTGTTGCTTGTATTGTTGTGATACGATTCTCTTATGTACGAAAAAACCTGTACGTAATTCATGATTTTCATTCCTCTTTCCTTAGAAAAATATATATTTTCCTGCTGGTACGATGCCACCTCCGTCCCATCTGACCTCCTGTACTACCGCTAAATCTAATATATTTTAAGATTTCTTCTGCCACACCCTGAGCGAACCTGCCCTATACGAACTTCGGACATTCCAAGTGCCAAATCTCATATCCACGTTCTTTAGCTTAGGTCGTTTGTCCAAGGAATCCGTCCAGGTTCGAGGCTTTGTGTTCATTTTCGTAACAAAGTAATTTTTTACGATGAGGAGTTGTTAGACCCACGTCATATTAAAGGATAATAAGCGATAAGTTCTTCCCAGGACTCCTTGTTATTTTATGTACTGTAATATTTTTAAACATGTTATCATGTATGTTTTTCTGAGTGTTAACAGCGGCTGCAACTCATTTCAGTTTCAATATACCGTAAAGTCCTGTACTTGCCAAACACGGTAGTCTTTTACAGGAAGGATGATATTACAGTAATTAGTTTTGTTTGGTTGCATCTAAACGTCTCTTTCGTAGAAATAATGAAAGAGACAGAGATATGGCGAAAGAGAAAATAAACTAAAGGATGCTGTCGCAGTCATGAATTAACATTCGAGCGCTGAAACTAACCGAATGCTAGATCGCCTTCGTGGCCGGTGAAGTAGGAGAAGCGAGCGGCAGTGAAACAGCTGGCCGAGTCAGTATCGTGTCGACAGGTCGGCGGAGTGGTTGGTTTTCTTGCCGTGCGCTGGATCTAATGTTTGGATGATGCGCTAAATCGAAGTCAACGAGCTTTCTTGTATGTTCGAAGTACCACAGGGCTCGAAGTCAAGCATCACTCTGGCCGAATTCTGGAAAAGACTCCGACGAATCTTTTCGTTGACATTTGCGGTGGTATACCAACATTACTTTCCGGTAAGCTGCATTATTATTTTTATTTCAGCACACGATACTCTGATTTCATTTACTGAGCTAAACTGCAACATGACATTTTTTAAATGTAAAAGTGAAATTGATAAAATTATGTTTAAGAACCACGCCATAGGTGGCATGAGTGACTAACTCCATGGTTCAGAATCCTTCCTGAGAAGTTACTAGTGGCTCAACTATTCAAGAAATTTTCCATCTTCTGTGAGCTGAAGGTGCATCGCCGTGTTCACAAAAGCCCGCCGCTGACCCCTATCCTGAGCCAAACGAACCCAGTCCATAAGCTAACAACCTTTTTCTTTAACATCTGTAGTGAATATCAGCCTCCCATTCACCCCTTCAGATATTGGACCAAACGTTTTTATGAATTTCAGATCTCCCCCATGCGTGCTACATGCTCCGCCATCTCACCTTGATTTTATAGTGCTAATAATATATGGTGAAGGGTACAAGTTATGAAGTGGAGGTACATTTTGCTTGCCGGGATAGCTCAAGAAGTACAGCGGCGGGCTACGGTCTAGACCCCCGGGGTCCGATGCCGGGCAGGGCAAAGACATTTTTCTCTATCTCAGAACAACCAGAGCGGCTCTTGGGCCCACCAAGCCTTCTATACAATAGATACTGGGGCTGCATAGCGGGGCGTAAAACAGTAGGGGCGTGAATTTAACCTCTTACCTCCATCTAGTGCCAAGGTCAAGAATAATGGATCTGTACTTCCACTTCCCTATACGTTTTCATGGCATGGCGCTTAAAGAATTAAGCGCAGGGACAACTTTACCCTTTTTATTTTTTCTTGTTTTTTTACTTCTGCACTAGTTGGAGGTGAACAGTTAGCTTCATAATGCGGTCACTTTTATAACCGGGATATGAGCGGTGACTTGTGCATTCAGACATTTTCGTGTTATGAGTGTTTATAGCCATCAGGTAACTGGCAAAATGTCTTCTCGTAGTAACAATTACGGGTAACGGATCCAAACAGGTCCAGAAACACAGACGGCTCACTTGGTCGTGCCGGACGAAGTGTACTCTAGTTAATATCGGCCTTAGACAGATTACGATTTATTGTGTCGTAATTACACTGGAATTTCCTGTTGCTCCCTCTGGAGCATCTGCGAAACGCTTTGTTTCAGTTTAGTATCTTAATCCTATACACAGTCAGTAGAAACCCTTGGACAGGCGATGAGCCCATCGCAAGGCCGCCATCTACACAGGACAACACAAACAGAACAAACGCAAATGTCTATGCATGGAGTGGGATTCGAACCCACGAGCCCAGTGTTTGAGCGGCCGAAGACAGTCGTTATTACATACACATAGCTTACTGATTACTGACCTGGTGTCAAGTTTGAGTGAAGCAGACTGCTTTACCACAGCCAAAGGAAAAGAGATCTTTGTGTACTCTAATATGGTTAGGTGGCACATTGTCACCACGGCATGGCGCGTCCACAGGTTGTGGATGGAGCTGTGAATATATTGAATAAGTAGTCGCGGACAACCGACAAGGGGGGTCCTCCAACTTGGGGGTTGTGCGTGGGGCTAACAACTCACCGTAAAAAAATAAATTTGCAACTATGAATACAGATTATGAAGAAAAACAGACGTTACTGTGTGAGATTTGAGGTTATCACGGCGGTAACTGTGCAGATACTATCTTACTGGATGTGACGCCACGTAATCTGGGTAATTTTGGGCGATGTTTCGGACGAACTTCCCCCTTTCTTCTTCAGGGTAGAAAAATAGTAGCAGGCAGCACGTTCCTCCGAAAAGTGGGTAAATGTCTACAAGACTACACGGCCTCACGCATCAAATTACACCAAAATCCATAACCATGGCTATGAGAACCTCAAGGTGTATTACCCAAACAAGTTCACTGCCTTCTGGAATCTAATGGCTTGTAGCCTGATAGATGTTTTACCAAACCTGCTGCTTCCATCTTCAGGGTAGGAAATTTGCAGCAGGTAGCGTGTTCCTTCGAAATATCGGTAAAATGTACCAGGTTATATGGTGCCAAACCCTAGACGCCAGTAACCAGTACATAGTACTGAAACCCTCTTGTATAGTAAAGGTAAAGTTGTCCCTGTGCTTAACTAATTAAGCACTACGCCATGAAGGCGTATGGGGAGTAGATGTATAGATCCACGTTTTCTTGCCCATGGCATTAACTGGAGGTAGGTGGTCAGATTAAAGCCCCGGCCGCTTTACCCCCTGGTACCCGTTGGATAGGAGGTTGGGTGGACTCCAGAGCCGGTCTGGACGACGTCTAGAAGAGAAAATTCTTGGCTCTACTGGGACTCAAACTCCAACCCTTCGGCCTTCCCGCCTGTAACCAGTCGCTGTACCGACTGCGCTATCCCGGCTCTCGTATCTTGTATAGTGCACAACACTAAAGCTCCATGGGAACTCGGAACACGAGAACAGTTGACACGTTGTCATGAGAGCTACCAGTGCAAATTAATAAGTGAATGAGTTGGAAATAGTGGCGAAGAGAAAAATCCCGGAGTTCCTACAGGGAATCAAATCCCAAGTCCATAACAAGTCGCTTTACTGACAGAACTAGCCAGGTTCATTTTAATTACTCCTACCAGAAAGACACGACCCTCTTGTGTAATTTAACTTCTACTAAGTTGGCGATTGAACGATCTCAGTGGCCGCGCGAGCTAAGGCATGAACTGTATTCGCCCGCTCAGACACTGGGATCATGGTTAGGAATCCCACTCAGGGCATGGATATTTGTTTGCCTTTATTCTGTTTGTGTTGTTCTGTGTGTAGTTATCGGCCCTGAGACGGGCTGTTCTCCCGTCTAAGGAGTCCTACCGCCGGGGTAAAAGATAAACTGAAAAAGCGGCCAAGGCCCAACAAAAGGACAGTAGAGCCATAGATAGATAAACTGGCAATTGAAGACGCTACCGTTATGACACGACTACTGTTCATAATGATTAATTATTTGGTTATTTAACGACGCTACTAAACTCTAGAGCTATATTTTATGTGGCGTCGAATGAGACGCAACGATGATACAAAAAGTGAGTAAGTAAAAATCTGAAAGGATAAGGTCATTGCTCGTTTTAGATACTTGCCGACATTGGTCGTCAGAGTCAGATAGGACGAGATTCGAACCCGGGACCTCGCGAAACCAACTGTAGAGCTATAGCCGGTACACCAACCTAATTGGTGACATCTGTTCATGTCTTTTTAAATAATAAATAAGTTTCTTTTTCAGTGGCGAAGACATTTATGTAACATAATGAAACGAGCGCATTTGACAGCAGCGTGATATATAACTATAATCTATTCCTTTCATCTTCTGTGACATATTTAATGTAATAAAACCAACACCCTGGTCGCGGAACCCTGGGGTTCAACACTGCTAAGAGCAAAGTTCGCTATTTAGCGCGATATACTCTTTGTACGGTTTAATTTGCAGGACGGTCTTGCAGGTGCAGCTTCTTGTTGTGCTTGTAGCCCTTTCGCGCGCTGCTTTGTTATCTGTTTTGTTATAAATATGTTTCGGCCTTATAAGGCCATCATGAAGTAAATAATTTTACGTAATTCTTGCGATGTAATGCTTTTTGCTTGTTCAGTGTTCTAGAACTTGCTCAAGTGTAGTTATAATTGTTGAATTTTGTTAAAACTATTTAGAAGGAATAACTTTAAACTACAGAAAGCAATACAGTGCGGCAATTGCATACGTCGTAGAAGTAACATTTACAAAAAAAAAAGTGACATTGTAACACAAACAGGCTACGAGAGCGACAAGAAGATCGATGAATAAATGTGTTGTCTTGTCATATATTTTAAAGAAAGAATTTTTTTTTTTTCGCTGGCTCTACAGCCCCTTTGGGCCTTGGCCTATGATCTTCAGTTTCAGGATTATTTTACAGACGGTAGGACCCCTTGGACGAGTGATAAGCAAGTCGCAAGGCCACTACTTAAACACAGGACAACAAAATCACAGATAAAACACATACACATATCAAACATTCATCCATCGTGTGCGATTCGAACCCACGATCCCGGCTTCCAAACGAGCGAAGAGAATACATGCCTTAGACCGCTCGGCTACCGTGACCGGAAAATAAAGACTTTAGAGTGACATTTAATATTATTTATTTTTATCACAGAAAATGTGGGAGCCTCGACGTCTCACAAAAATATGGACTTCCACGGCATGTTATAAGGAAAGCTTTACTTTTTTTTTACTACTTACAGCATTAAATTTCACATTTTTTTCTGTGCTGATTTTTTTCTTTAGGATTATATTTTACTTCACTAATCCAGATTATCACTTAATTCGGATGGCCTCTCCCTTTTCCCCAGTTGCTCCGGATTGGCGAGGGTTTACTCTGTTTGGAACAAAGAAGGTGTGTTGCGGTGGCAGAGAAGGGGCTATAAGAGGACAGAAGATGAAGAGAGAAGAGTAACAAATTGCAATTGCAAGACGTCAAGGACGTTAATAAATCGATATTTTCGATATTCTTAGCAATAGTTGAGATCAAAATCGGAAGTTTCTTAACTGTAAACGCGTATACAACCAGCTGGTCTAGCGGTTGGCTAACTGCATCAAAAGTGCCAAAATTACAACATCGCGAAATGAGGTTATATTTGATAACTTCCAAGTATGTATAAGATTATAACAGATACAGTTCTGGGCAAATACAGGTCAATAATGTACTCAGTTTAAGTGCACAAATTTCGCTGGTTTCCCTGTTGAGATGGGTTAAACTGTAAAAAGAATTGCTGCTTTTAGAGATAGTGAAATATTCATACAAGTCAAAGTTAAGAATGTAAGCTTCTGATATATGACGTCATGCAGAGTGGCAGATACGAAACAATGTTTCGGAGAAACCTGCTGAATACAAATTTGAGATCGAAGAAATTGAAATGATAAAAATTTCAGCTCTTTCTATTTATGATACAGCTGATTAAAAACTGTAATATAGCTGCAATAATATTCATTAAACAGGAAAAATGAAATAAGACGAAGGACC